AGAGATAATTTACATAGAAAAGTCACAGACATAACTTGGGTCTTTGGTATGTCAGTCCAGTATGCCTAACCACTACACCACCATGGCTAGATGAAGATTCATCAAAAAGTTGGGAAGAAAGACAATAACAAATGTTAAAATCAACAATCTTTGTTTTATTCATTTCTCTGTTAATTTTACAGACAATATCACTATAAGATAATACAAAATGTAAATACACAATTAAATTAATAACAAAACCACCTTACTCTGTGCTTTATATCTTTCAAAAAAAAAAAAAAAAAAAGGAAAAAAGATAATTTTTACTTTAGATTACCACATGTATAACAAGTATAATCAATTTATAACAAAATTTCAAAAGATAATTCTTTCTTTAATCTCATACAAAATTGAAAGTACATTGTACACGACTATATTTGTTTTTTGTGTTGTTTTTTAAAAATCTTTATCAATTATGTGCACTTATTATATAAGAGCAATGAAAGATTATTTTAATTTCTCTCACACCTGATTTTGACATAAACTTATTTTACCATTCATAAACCATTCTTCCTCATCTCTACTCATCTCTAAATCATTTTGTTTAAACATAATTTGTCAAGTTTATAGTCACACAAAAATATTGTTAAGGACATAATATTACTGTGACTGATGGATATGAAGACCTCAAGTGAGTTTTCTATGCATTATTTCAGACAGGAGCAGGCCACTGAACCTTCCATAAGCCAGCTGGATTAGCTTCCTCGCATGAAAGAATCCAAAACCCCCCTGGCAGGATTTGAACCTTCAGTGGTAAGAGGCATATGGTTCTAAGTTAGCAACCTTAACAACGCAACCATGGACGTCCCTTTTTTATATCAAGAACACCAACTTTCATTATAATCTGAGGAAAGTATATGAGCTGTGTCATGACAAAACCAACATAATGGGTTTGCCACCAGCATGGATCCAGACCAGTCTGCGCAGTCTGATCAGGATCCATGCTGTTCGCTTACCAACTCTATTACAAGTAGAGAAACTGATAGCGAACAGCATGGATCCTGATCAGACTACGCGGATGCGCAGGTTGGTCTGGATCCATGCTAGTCGCAAACATAAATAAATATATTTCACCTACTACAGCATAAATCTTGTCAACAGATAATTCATCATTCCTGTATGCATTCATATTAACATATTTCAAAGTTTTATATGAGACTATCAACTATTTCAATTCAAATATTGACAATAAAATGACAAAAAAATAAACAAATACCAAAATCTTTCCAAGTGTTATGCGACACTTAGCAATTTCACAATAATAAATATCACAAAACAAAATAAAAATACGAAACTTAGTCAAGTATCACATGACAAACCATAAAGTTTATAATCAATTTTTGACAATTTTAACAGTTCTAAAATATCTTTTGACAATGTGAATTTTACAAGAATCTTTTCTACTATACATTATATTATTTGTTAAAAAGATTTTTGACAGGTTATATGGCCCTATATAAATGGTTGTTTGTAAATATAACCCGAGAAAGCTTCAGATATTGCAAACAATTGTTTATATATGGGCATATAACCTGTAAGGAATATCTATAACAAATTTATAATACTGCAAACTTCTTTTTTTAAAGAAAAAAGTGAGATTTCTTCATGAACTGACAGCAGCCATGTAATATAAAACTACATAAACATTGCGATTATCCAATGAAAAGTGGTGTTAAAAACAGAGAAGTAAGAAGCTATAATTGTAGATCATATCTTTGAAAACTTACTGACTTCAACCAATTACCATTGAAAGACTTGTAGATATTATTCATACATACTCGCCATACCAACTTTAAGCCAACAGAAAAATAATCAACATTTCAGCCGTGTCATGACAAAACCAACAGTGCGTTTGCGACCAGCATGGATCCAGACCAGCCTGCGCATTTGCGCAGTCTGATCAGGATCCATGCTGTTCGCTTACCAACCCTATATCAAGTAGAGAAACTGATAGCGAACAGCATGGATCCTGATCAGACTGCGCAGGCTGGTCTGGATCCATGCTGGTCGCAAACGCACTATGTTTGTTTTGTCATGACGCGGCTTATTTCTTTCCAATCTTCTCAATAATGCAATAATCTTCAATTAAAAAGTAAATAACCTTACCATACTAAATTAAACTACCAAACTATTACACTGATACCTGACAAAAATGTAACATATTATTACATCACAAAAAAACATAACTTTAAAGCAGCAGGACTCCAGATTTCTAAAATATTTTTTTTCAAAAACAAACCAAAAAAAACCCAAACAAACCTTAACTATATTACAAATTAAGAAATTAATAATTAGTTAAAATTTTTGAGGCATTTTGCATGTTTTCAGCAACAGATGGCAGAATTTTTTCACTTTTATCCACATATTTCCACCCTGTTTCTAATGGAGTATTGAAAAAAACTATTCTAATAGATCTTAAATAATTAATATCGATAGGAAGTACCTCATGTAAACTTTGGTTACGATATCTTCCATTGAAATATATGAAAATGTAAACAGCAGAGGTTTTTTTGTTGTTTTTTTTCTGCATAAAAATTCATCATATATCTGGAGACAATGCTGTTTTAAAGGTCAAAGGTCAGCAAATGTTTAACATTACACTCGTATAATATTGCATCCTCAGGATTGCTTTTTTTTTCTACAGATTTTATACAAAAATAAAAGTATTAGGAGAAAAAAACAAACAAAAATAATGAAATTAATGTTAGTAATTGGCAGATACTAATTAAGGAAATGAAAATGATGAGTCAATTAACTTAATTAGCGGTATCAATTAACTCTTAAACAGCTTTACAGCTCGTAAAGTGATGATTGTAAGCCTGTGCCACAAGTAGAATGCCAGAACTGTCAACAAGTCTGTTGGAAATATCTTATTAAACATTAATAATAGTGTTTTTAATGAAGTACATGCTCAATAATATCGATCTTTTCTGGTTGCCAAGGGTAAACAAACCAAACACACACAAAATCTGGTAAGTGTTGCCAGATTATAGGATAGCTGATTTTAGTTTATATTTTGACCACGAGATGGTGGAGAAAGACTTTGGATACCCTTCTGTGCTTTGTTTCAGGCACAAATTGCTTACAGAGTAGAGCCACCAATGATAATTTACTCACCAGAAAGAATCCAAAGTACCTGTTGGGATGACCTGACTTTATACTTGTGGCATTGGTATACAAGACACTGTGTGAACACTGTAAATGCTAAACCCATTAAATAACAATGAAGAAACAATGGATGAAAGGGAAATAAAAAAATTGGTGTTTATGTATCCTGTTTTAATCAAAATTGATTAATTTACAAACAACAATGCCAAAAATAATGTTAACAAAAGTAACAAATTACAAAAAAGTTCTCTCGTTTTCCATGATCCTGACTGAGTCTCCAATATCCAAAATCTTTCAATCATTTTTAAACGTTGTAAAAACATCAAAGAAAACTTTAAAAACTTTTTCGAGTACAAAAAGGTTAAATTTTCTTTCCATACATATATAATAGTGTTATATAATTTGAAATAAAAAATCAAAATCTTATTTAATCATTTAACCTTTGTTTACATATGCTATCATAATATACACAATATCATATTAAGCCTTTTACCCTCCCAGTGTTCGAAATTAGCAGTAGTCCGATAGCCCAGCTGACTACTAAATTTCTTCTCGGGCTACCAACTTTTCACAGCAACAAGCCCTACCAGGCTACTGTATTTTCAGAGGCAAAAGAAACAACTGTTTCGAACAAATAAATCGTGCTAGTGAAATGTCTTTTGGGCTATTGAATATTCCAATCTGGTAGTCTGACCAGCCTAGTCGATTCAAATCCTAATAAATTACACTGCCTTCCTAAAATTGTATAATGGACTAGTTGACATTTAATTTTGGAACTGTCCATTTTAAGTACTAGGGATTTTGACATTAAAATGTTCAATCTAAACATTCAGCAAATATATAAGAATTGTAAGACAGCATGGATGTACGTGGTGGTACATTCCTGTTACTACTGTCACTTAAATTTCAGAGAGTTAAAGGCCCATTGCTGTTTTATTTCATTTCTCAAAAAGTTTTTTTATTTTTGGCTGCCCTATTACAATTTCAAAATGACATCATCGACCATAAAGCTAAACAATATTTTGCTTCTTTTGTTAACTTTTTTTTTTTTTTGGTCAATTTTTACAATTTTAGTGATTCAGAATTTTGTATTAAAGTGAAAATACTTCTTTACTTCTTTGTTTACATTTTCCTACCTTTATGACAAATTATTTCACAGTCAGCACTATTCTCGTGTTCAGGTGATATCTAATATGCTTGAAAATTATAAATAGTTTTTAAAATATTACAAAACACATTCTTGACCTTTCTAAATTAAAAATGGTAATAATTACTGAGACTATCTGTGTCCTTAAATAACATTCAAAATCTCAAAATTATTCTAATATACTATTGGTAAACAACATCAACAAGACAGTCTTAAATTTACAAACACCTATATCATAATGCTTGCCCTGACAGCGGAAATAAATTAAATGAAAAAAGGGAAAAATCAATGTTATAATATTATTCCCTTTTTCAATTTATCAAAACTGTTTGATAAATAATAATGATAACAAAGAGATTAATTAAAAAAATACAAAATCCAACTTCACAACACATATAAAGTTTCAATTTAAACTTATTTTGATCATTAAATATTTTAAATAAAAGTGAGGTACTGATAACATTTTATATGTTGTTCTTTTGTGTGCCAATATTTGAGCCGCGTCACGACAAAACCAACATAGTGGGTTTGCAACCAGCATGGATCCAGACCAGCCTGTGCCTCTGTGCAGTCTGATCAGGATCTATGCTGTTCGCTTACAAACCCTTTAACAAGTAGAGAAACTGATAGCGACAGCATGGATCCTGATCAGACTGCGCAAATACACAGGCTGGTCTGGATCCATGCTGGTCGCAAACCCATTATGTTAGTTTTGTCGTGACGCGGCTCATTTATAATGAAATTCAAATTAGGAATAGAATTCATATGAAGGACCAGTGCTGTCAGCTTCAGCTAGCTCCGCCCTCACACTGCTTGAATCTACTTTGTAAGCATCTGATTGGTCAGCTGAATTAAACAAGTCACAAGCACCTGTCGATGCTGCCACCTGGTGACAGGAAGTAGATGATGCAGTTTCACAGGAAGTAGGTGGAGCTGTGGTTGTTTTGTTATTCAAATTGAGGGTAATGTCCTCCTGTGGAGGTTGGAAAATCACACTTGGAATGCTGCTAGAAGCTTCGGGATCTGTGACGTCTGCTTCAAAGCCAAGGTCAAGATCATCTGGTATCTGTAAAGCCTTATCTGTGCCTAAAATGGATGAAAACTCTATCATAAAGTATGTTTAATGCATAAAGTAGTAATACATGTTCTGTCTGAATACAAAACAAAATTCATTACATAAAAGAATTTCTCACAGGTATTTTGAAAACACATATCATGATATATTTGTCCTTCACAGAAACATATACTGTATTAACATGTAGCTTCAGTGCAATAAATAAATTTTCAAAATTAAGTAACTTGAATAAGAAAATATAACCACATCAGATTCTGAAGAAAACAGAGCTATAAAGGCCACTTTTTCAGATGGCTACCTGGGATCTTTCCAAGCCAGGTATTTTGAATGTTCTACATCATCTTAAAAATATGACTGTGGTGAAATGTAAAAGCAACAGCTGTAATCTTTCAATTTTACACATTAGGAACATATTTGTGAACAGCAGAAAACTTTTAACACAGATGAAATACAAAATTCATGACCAACTCCAACCCCACAGGTACTATCCCAATGACATTACCCCTTACTTCTTTTGGCGCAAAAACTAACCAGTGCATACACAATACAGTGCAAATAGATGATCAGATCTAATTTCTCACACCAAATCTCCTTGACTCTCTGGGGCTGGAATATACTAATGACTTGACATAAACCAACCTCAAATTTTTCACAATATTTTCCCATACCTTTTCTTTGATAAAAGAGGACATAAGTGCTGGTAAATTCATCTTCACCAGGATGAGTCTCTGTCACGGTTTCATCGTTGTAGTAATACCATTGTCCTCCTACAGGATGTTTAGCGTACGCTGTGTAATGACCAGAGTTGGCACCTGTAATGAATGAAAATAACCGTACAGTACGGAAATGAATAAAATTAACCACACTTAACTTTTACCATAATGCCTTTAATGGACACGTCCATTATTCAACCTGGAAGGAAACATTCATCATTTATCAGGGGAAAGTTTAAAAATACATGTAGTTCTATGTACCAACTGACTAGCAAACAGTGCTAGATGGCACAGAATGATGTGACTTGATTTGCAATCATCATACTGGTAGATTCATTATATATGGTATAACAAATCTGAGTGATAGGGCATGAAAATAATTTTTGAACCTCTCTAACCTATGGCAGTCTTTTCTCCTTTTTTTTCATCACGAAAATTTCTGCAGTTCGCAAGCACATTTTAGCCCACAATAAGTAAAGGGTTAGTAATCATAATGACCAAATTTTACCAGCAAGACATTTAGATTATTTAACAATATAGAGGATATTTGTTTAGTTCAGTGTAAGATCGGAATATATTTCACCCACAGAGCACCAAATAGTATATTTAACGAGTGGCACAGCCACAAGTGAAATATGAACTTTTGATGTTCACAAGGTGAAATATATTTCGATCTTACACTAAACTAAACAAATTTTCTTTTTATTAAATGCAAAGAAACATTAAACCTAATACATGTAATACTAAATGAAAAGCTGTTTAAAACAGTGAAATTATCAATTTTATATTTCACTGATATAATTCTATAAACCACCGAAAAGCATGTAATAAAAATTTCTTACCTCCGAAATGACACACAAGGCTGTATAAATTATACATGAGGTTCTTGGTCTTTGGTCCCGAGATAAAACAATTGAGATCAAGGTTATCGATAGGGAAAACAACTTTGTTGTCTACTTTAGTACTGGACAGTTCGTGGAATACAAATCTGTAATAAAACAGTTCATAACAATTTATAACAAAATAATTTAATTCAATTAAACATGTATTTCACTATATCAATATTATATGAATCTTAATTAAAGATATACTATGCTCAAATTTGATATTGGAAAATATTGATAATTACTACAAAGTCTCTTTGTAAACATAAAATAAACGTGTGTTGACTTCACACATAGTAGATATGTTATGTTTAAAATTCTACACACTATGATGGTCACAATATGAATATATAGTGTCATAAAAAAACAGGCAGTTTTTTATAGAAAAGACCAACTTTACTTGGTCTGTAATAGGGAATGCAGCTTCCCATACATAATTTATTCATTCTTTTATTCAAATTAGACACATTCAGTAAGAATTTCATAGATTTCAATAATTTCTGTGATTATAATATTTTACTCAAGGATGAGCATAGTATATCTTGAAAGCAGTATAATTATAAACAATGAAAAAGATCCACATAACAACTTATATTTAGCAGTTTACACATTCCCAAATTTCAAACTTTAATTAAAATGTGACTAACAGTCTTAAAAGTTATATGACTAACTGATAAAGTCATGAGATTTTAAAAGCCTTCATATCGGAAGACACAGAGGTTTCCATTCATTAAGTATTTCACAGAATGACCAGATATCTGGGTAGAAACACAATTTCTTTAGCAAGCTGGATTGCCCTCTATAATAAAATAATACCAGTTCCAAAGACGAATTCCCACAAGCAGAGTTAAGTCCAATCTCACTTAATGTCAGTATCGTTAACCTAAGAGAACTGTAAATTAATTGTAAACTGGTACAGAACCTGTTTTAAGGAACAAGTGATCCAGTGAATGCAATGTTCGTAAAGAAATAATTTCTGTATATACCAACCGTTTAAGATGTATAATAAGTGTATCAGGATACTGCCATACTGTCATGGTTTTCTTGGCTCTCTGATTCTCCTTACAGTGAGGACAGAACCATGGATTCTGTTCATCTAATTCTTCACTGTGTAATAAAAAAACATTCAATAATTATTTATATTTTTTTGGGGTTGGATTTTAAGTCACACTAACAGTATAGGTCATGTGGCCACTTTCCAGTTTTAATTGGTAGAGGAATAATTCCGGTGCCCATACATTATTGCAGGCAAGAACGGGCACTTTAGTAGAACCACCAACATTCTGTAAGCTAACTTCCTCACATGAAAAAATTCAAAGTCCCTGTCAAGATTTGAGCTCACAGCGGTGAGGGGCAAGTTCTTTGAAGTCAATGACAAACACTCAGCCACAGACACCCTGAATCTGAAATTTACCATCTGTTGTGGTTACATAAAACATACAGTTCCACTGTGCATTAATTAAGTCTAATCTGTTTTGTCAAATTGACAATAAATATTCCAGAGATGTACATTTCGGTCAAAGTCTAAGATACAAATGAACTAAAGTTTTAGAAAATTCGGTTGACAAATCAACCAGTACCTTTGTGTGAAAGCACTGAAGCAGTCTAGTAGAGTGACTGGTTCATGAGAACGTTGTTTCTCCATAGATCTATGTTGATTAACGCGTTGATACTCCGTCACCTGATCATCCGTCACTGATTGTACGCTGACAGCCAGATTATCACCAGGACGTAATATAGCTTCACCATCCGCAGGTATTTCACACCCTGTACAGTGTTCCATGTACAGACATCGTGAGCAGTGTAAACCCTGGTAACAGTATCACAAATCAGTTACACATTCAATACAGTTGAACAGCAATAAATATACATAAAAACATCTTCAAGTTTTAGCTAATCTTATTATTTTATTTTTTTGCATCACTGATTTTGCTTTTTTCCTATTGAAAAAATAAAGGTATGATTTTGTGAAACACGTTTGAATTATGCAGAGACATAATTAAATTGATATGTCAAGTTATGAATTTGTTTACACATGTATATCCATTATTCCAATTGATAAAGGCCTAAATACACAATGTTTCTTTGATTTTTATGCAAATTCTAACACATTTTTGGTCATATATTACAGGTTGATACATTTAACAGGTTTTCCTGGATAACTTACCAGCAATTACCAATTTCTATACAAGTGACATGATGTATTTTAAATTCAGCAGTGAGAGACAAAAGATCATTAGACTAAATGTCCCAAGATAAATTGCCAAGGAGAAAATGACTTATTTTTTTTTTCCATCAAAATTTATTTCATAGTGCTGCAACTTCACAAGGGATTGAGATAGAGTCAAAGGCTTTTCAGCGTTGGTTACACTTTACCTTGTGATCGACCTGGGGTCATTTTCAGCCTCTCACAAGTCCAAATTTTTCTAGGCAATGAGGGGAAATCCGCCCCCTTCAAACCCCAATATAGGGACCCAAATAGGACATTTTTTCACTATTTCAGACCTAAAAAGGGGGGGGGGGGGGGTCAAAAGTGCATTGATTAGCGTATATATGAGGTAAAGGGTTAAAACTTTGACCTCTTACATGTTAATAACTACTAATTACTAACAACCACATCTTGTATTCATCAATGATAAAATATTCTAAATATGACGTCTGAACCTATTTTGCCCTACATGTTCACAAATGGGTAACAAAGATTAACTTCATCTTGGTTGAGACTAGTAATCTAAGGATTGCTGACCACCTGGGTTCAAACCCTGTCAGGGGCAAGTTGCTATTTCCTTGAGCAAGAATCTTTACATTCATTGTTTAAAACTAGTTGGTTCCAGGAACTGATTTGAGAGTGTTTCAATAAGCTTATAGCTTCTCACACAATCAAATTAAAATAAATTTGTATAAACTAAACATTCACTTACCGTGCCGTCTGTGAGCAATATTTTAAAGTTGTTCATGTCAGGTCTGATGGTTTGTATACACGTATAGATATGTTGACCAGTCAAGTTACTAGGTAGGTTCAGTAAAGATGGATGTGCAAACAGGTATGGATTATCTGCCCCGGATATGTCTTTCTCACATCGGTATGATATAGGTATAGCAACAATCCTGTAAATAAACAAGAGCTGTCAGTGAAAAGAAAAACAAGAGCCCAAGTTCAGAAAGGGCTACAATTTTGTCAAATTCCATGTTAGAGTTATGGCCCTTGTACAATTTATTTCTATTAACCTGATAAAGCAACAATCCTGTGAATAAACAAGAGCTGTCAGTTGCACACATACTCCACTATTCTCAGTGCTAGAAAGTTAAAATAAAAGCCCGAGTTCAAAAAGGGCTACAATTAAGTCAAAATCCATATTAGAGTTACGGCCCTTGTACAGTGGCCTCCTATTATGTTCTCAAATATGAGTGTGAATTTTCAACCCATTTTCCTTCTGTAGTTTTGGAAATAAAAACTTGCACAAAAAAAACTGAACCAAAGTGTGACTCTAATGCCTGTGTGAGTACAATGCAAACGTCAAAGTCCCCATAGGGCAGGATGGCACTGGTTACAACTACTGGGTGCATAATCATCCTCATTGCAATGTATTCGTACAACAAATATAAAATCATACAGAAGAAATGTAAATGTATGAGATAATATTATAAACTAACCTTGTTTTTGGTTTATGATTGGCAGCATTTGTTAATGGAACAAAATCCTCCGTCATATCAGCTGGTGTTGAACATACCTGTATAAAACAAATATGCTATACAAATTTGTTACATTACTACTTTTTTCTGTTACATCTAAATTTTATTTTTTCCTAGTTATAATTCTATGAGCATACTTGGATTTCTTTGCAAAAAGAAATTGTAGAAATATAACTTAGTTTGTACAAGCAGCTGCTCAAATTGAACATTTTAATATGAACTAGAAAATGTGCCTATTAGTTTTGTTTAAACATATTTATTTAAGCTTGATTGAGAAACAAGTTGTTGCAACTTATATCAATCACTTTCCAGTCCATCCAGAACTGGTGCCATATGAACATGGTCTTGACCCACTGAGGGCTCAAACCAATGATCCATAGGTTGCGGGGAAGACACCTTAACCACTAGGTCACAGAACCCTTCTATTTGAGATGGATTTCCCCTCATTCCAGTATTTTTAAAGTCTATGGAAAAACAGCATGATAGGTAGACAAGCGGAAATCTATATGACCCCTTCAGATGAGGCATGAAAAAAACCAATATTACAAAAATTAACATTCAACAGTATTGACTTCCAAAACTGTTCTGCAATATGATAGTAAGGAAATTTATGAACAATTTTATATCACTTACAAAATGAAGACTTCAGGAAATTTTTTTCATTGTTTAAGTTCCTGACTAAAACACATACTTACAGGACAACAGTATACAGAATCTCTATAATGCTGGGCAGACATCTGAAATTTAAATACTGAAACACTGAAATCATTTGTTTAATTCATCCATTAATTTACTAAACATATCTGTTTCTGTAATTCAATGACTTGGCCTTCTATTTTTCTATTCAAATCTTATATGAAATAAATGGACAATGTTAAATACATTTTTAAATAAATGGCTTATTCAACTTTCGAAATAAATAGTCGAAGTTTATGCACACCTTAAAATAAAAGACTTATGCAAACTTTTGAATAAATAAGGTATGCAAAAATTGGAAATTAATGGACCATGCAAACTTCTAAAACTTAATTTATGCAAATTTTTTAAAATTAATGGCTTATGCAACAAAGATAAGCTTCTTTTTTAGCTTGATTGTGATGAAAACTTATTAAAACAACTCTGACTCGACTTCCTGGAACTAACCAGTACTGGTGTCACATGAGCAAATATTGAAAGAGTGTAAGTTTAATACTGAATTTATTGAACCACTTGAATAAAATTATATTATGCAAGCCTCTAGCAAGCATATTATTATCATATTCAACAATTTGAATTACCAATAAATTTAGTAATGAACTTACACGAATATAATATACTCAAAACAAGAGCACCGCTAGGCGGAGCATTATATGCCCGAAAGTGTTTTTTTTTTTTTATTAAGGATGAAGCATTTGTAAGACATAACATAAATTAAATAAAGTATTACCTCCTTCCAATAGCAGTCCTATAAAGTTTGAATATTGTGGGCCAAATAGAAATTAAGTTATGCTCCGGAAACTGTTTTCAGTTTTAAAGTAATAGTGACCTTGACCTTTGACCTTGTGACCCCAAAATCAATAGGGGTATTCTACCCAATATGGACAATCATCCTATGAAGTTTGAATATTGTGGGCCAAATGGAACTTAAGTTATGCTCCGGAAACTGTTTTCAGTTTTAAGGTAATAGTGACCTTGACCTTGTGACCCCAAAATCAATAGGGGTCTTCTACCCAATATGGACATTCATCCTATGAAGTTTGAACACTGTGGGCCACATGGAACTTAAGTTATGCTCCGGAAACTGTTTTCAGTTTTAAGGTAATAGTGACCTTGACCTTTGACCTTGTGACCCCAAAATCAATAGGGGTCTTCTACCCAATATGGACAATCATCCTATGAAGTTTGAACACTGTGGGCCAAATGGAACTTAAGTTATGCTTCGGAAACTGTTTTCAGTTTTAAGGTGATAGTGACCTTGACCTTTGACCTTGTGACCCCAAAATCAATAGGGGTCTTCTACCCAATATGGACACTCATCCTATGAAGTTTAAACACTGTGGGCAAAATGGAATTTAAGTTATGCTCCGGAAACTGTTTTCAGTATTAAGGTGATAGTGACCTTGAACTTTGACTTTGTGACCCCAAAATCAATAGGGGGTCTTCTACCCAATATGGGCAATCATCCTATGAAGTTTGAATGTTGTGGGCCAAATGGAACTTAAGTTATGCTCCGGAAACCAAATTGCTAACAGACGGACGGACGGACGTTCTAACAGGAGAGTAATAATGTGGCTACTCTATTGTTCTTTCTATTGTTCTTTTTAGCCACACAAAAGAAAATAGCCACATAAAAGCATTACGGAATGAATGACATCAAAGAGAAAGAACAGTTACCTATTGTCCCTCTAGCCACATAATTACTGTCCCGTGAGTGCGGACGGACAGACAGACGGACGCCAGGGGGTATAACATAAAATGCCCGAAATTCTTTGGGGCATATAATAAACACTTTTCAAGTGAAAAAAGTAACATTTTTCATTGACACCCCTTTAGTATAACATTCAGCGTGTCTTAACCCTATGTTTGTATAACACGAATGACGTCATGCAACACCATTTTTACTGAGTCGCATAAGTGGCTTGAGTACATGATAAACATGTTTATGACCAAAATAGAACCCTAACTAGTGACCTCTGAAGCAGATATATTAACACTGTTACTATAAAATATTACCTCTAGACAAGCAGAGCAGAAAGTACCACCACATGTTGTGTGAACCATCAGCTCATTCTCGGGCATTTCTTCGAGACATATAGCACAAGATTTCCAGTCATCTGTAGTGACAGTAGAACTGGTTACTGTGGATTTCTCCACTGCCTCACGACCCTCTGCTCTCGCTATATCTTCACTTATATCAAATCCTGAAATAAAAATCTACTCCTTCACAAATCAATTGACTTAATTTTCATAACTAATTCCAAATGTTCTTCAAATAGTCAAACTAAAATTACTATATTTACAAGCACCAATCAATACTCTCTTCACTTGTTTAAATCTTAATACAATTTACATGTTAATACCCTTTAACAAATTAATTCAATAAATGTTTGTAACAAAATCTGCCCACTCTTCAATTAATCAAGCAAAATCCACCCTGATTTCTCCTAATTAAATAACTGTCTGACTTTGTGTCTTTTCTTAATCCTTTTATAAACGAGGGGAATATTTGGGACTTTGGGGGTATAGTTATTTTTGTAATACAAAACAAATTTGCGTACAAGATACAGCTAAAGATATCTATAGAAGATAAAACCACGAAAGTGTCCATAAGTCACAAAAAAACCTACATTCCACTGTTTTGTAAGTTTACTGACAGATATCATGGCAGCAGGACAATAGGATGGAACAGGGGCAAATTTGTATGCCCTTCTGCAAAGTAGTAGGGGCATTTGAACAATGTGATTAAATGTCAACAAAAAAAAACACGCAATCAACTTTATGTTAGATATCACATAGGAATCCCCTAAATAAGTGTAATAAATCATACAATGAAGCAAGATATACCTGTAGCAGATGTTGTACTATCTACCACTGGATTTTCACCAGTTTCTGTTTCCAGACTCCCTCGTCTTTTGTCCGACCCATTTTGATTCCATTCCCACAATCCTGTTCCTACCATATCATCCAAACTTCCTGAATTCTTAAAATCTGCTGACCCAGATTGACCATAGTAGGGATCTGCTTCAGAGAATGTTTCAGAGCCCAAATTTACGTTACTGTTGACAAAATATGAGTCGACGTTGTTAAAAGAATCGACTTGAGAGGCGAGGTTGTCTTGAGACGTGGCCGGTGTAACATTCATGGCAGAGGAAGTGGGGTTCTCATTACCATGACAACTACCGAATGTAGACTGGTCCATCTCGAAAGCATAAATTGTTCGAGAAGAGTCGTTGATGTATCGCAGCATTGTGTTATCCTCCTGTTAATGTAAAAGGTGAATTTAAATTTTTCATAATTATACATTTTAAATACAAATGTAACTAGAAAATTTCTTTAATTTACTCAAAAGCAGCTTTTAGCTAGAAAAAGATTAGGGTTTTCTTTCTTCATGCATTCTTTATATCTGGTTGTGAAGAAAGCTCATAACTTAAACTTTTAATGAATCACTCTTACTACTTAATTACCCTAATACAGACCGAACACACAATCTCCAAGATGAGAGGCAGAAACCTCACCTTCCAGGTCATGATTTCCGTACATTTTGATAAATCAATATGATATAAGTTGTGCCATGACAAAACCAACATAGTGCGTTTGTGACCAGCATGGATCAAGACCAGCCTGCGCATCTGCGCAGTCTGATCAGGATCCATGCTGTTCGCTATCAGTTTCTCTACTTGTAATAGGGTTGGTAAGGGAACAGCATGGATCCTGATCAGACTGCACGGAAGCGCAGGCTGGTCTGGATCCATGCTGGTCGCAAACGCACTATGTTTGTTTTGTCGTGACGCGGCTCATATAAATCATATCTTACCAGGATTCGAGAGATGTGCCAATTCAGCACCTCAGCTATAATGATGTCAGTGGGATTTCCACCAATCAGATTACACAGCTCCTGTTTGACCTTGAGTATTTTATCTTGTTTGTGCATCTCCAGTAACACATGTGTGGCTTCTCCCATTAATGGTATAATTGTTACACCTGAAATTTATTATTAATGCAATATTACAATAATGTAATGAAATTTAAAGACATGCTTTGTTATATTTTGCTTATAAAAATTCCACAGAGATCTAAAAATCTAAAAACCTGAACACATAAAATTTGAATTTCTTACATAGATCAACTGGGTCACATAAAATAGAAAGATTTTAAAGAAATTTACTCAGGAATAATATGAAAATCATATTTTTGGGCAATTTGCCCAATTTGAGTTAAAAACACTTTTCATTTTTTATAAAGTGATGAGAAAGCTGAAATTTTACACACAATTCATAGTACTTCATATCCTGGTGAACAGTCCACCGTACCAGCTTTCCTAGGTGCCTAACCAGTATTTAAATTGTACCAATTTCTATGCAAGTGACCAACTACTAATCCAACATGATTTCTGAATCATCAACTTCGAGAGACAAATGATCATTAAACTAAATGTTAGAAATCAATGTGTCACCTTAGTGCAATAACGTTTGTTTGTTTGTTTGTTCATTTTATGCCTTTTCCCAACAGTATTTCAGTCATATAGGCGGTAGTTTCCTACCCCATCGTTCCTGGAGAGTTACACCAGTACCAGACTACCTTCCTCCGCGCTAAACTACCAAAGCATCTCCCAGGGATCGCACCCCCGCCAGAGAGGTAACTGAATTAAAAGTCATCGACTCTAACCCCTTGACCACGGAGGCGGTTGTGCAATAACGTAACAAGTCCTTTTAACAAGCTTAATTTGTTAGCAGTTAGTGAAGAATTGTTACGGAGAAACTTTGCCTCACCAGAATATCCTACCTACAGCCTCTGATGCTAACTCTGTAGGCTAAACAGGCATACTTGAATAAAAAATAATTATGACAGGTGAGCTAAAAATAAGTAAAGCAACTTACAGAGTTGTCTTTCCATGGCATGAGGTATAGGTACTGAGAGATACATGAATGGTTCAAATGTTACAGACACCTGGTTACATTGTGCACATACAACCTGAAGTTAATTAAATGATTAAATAATGTCTTAATTAACATAATGGTATAGATTTTTTAAAGACTGAATGAGAAAACCGCTCTTTTTTTCTTCTTTTTTTTTGTACTTTCTTTTTGCCTACCATCATGTCTTTAGGATTAAAAGTTTTCAGTGTATATTTGAAGACTTAAGAATAAACAAATGCTTGACTTTATAGAATTTTGTTCTTCTAAACATTTTAAAACATTCTTTAAGTATAGAAAATACAAATGTATGTGCTTTAATATAAATGAATTAAAATTAAAAAAGAAACTGGAATTACAATTAAATGGTACATACAGTAGATTTAAACTGCCCTTGAAAAGTGTCCACAACTACACTGTCATTCCGCCTTAAATATTTCTGCCAGGCATCTTCGGCTGCTAGAACCTCAGCTGTCGTGTAACATGCTCCTTCAGCCAGGGTCCTTGGCACTCGAGGTACGACCTCTCCGGTGTCGTTATCATCCGACACCTCCATATCATTATCCTCTTCTTGATCCTCAATATCACATTCAACATCGCTATCCACGCTCGGACTAGCTTCTCGCATACACGACACTCTCTCAACTTGTTCAACATTCTTTGGTTTTCGAACATTTAATGCTTCAGAGATGAGCACTTCTTTTTGAATCTTACATATCTCCTGCATCTGCAGGTTTTTCTCTGTACCTTCAAACTTCATTCTCTTCACACCACTCAATGAAAAACAGTCTTCTTTTTCTGAACCCACGCCTGAACTAGAGCCACAAGCTCCTTTTGGTGATTTACTCTTTTTATCTGCTCTAATATTCACATCTTTTACTTTCTTTGGCATTTCAAATTCGTCACTTTTGGTTGTCACTTCCATAACGTTATTTATCAAATCTTCTTCGTCAACGTTTTCAATTCTGTCACTAGTGTTGTCATGTTTGGAGAATTTGTCCGAGTCCGTAGTTACCGACTCTTCCATATATTCTGTTGCTAAGACATTGGTGTTTAGAGTTTTAGTCTCCTTGGCATACAAGTCTTCAAGAGACGGTACACTTGTTGTTGGTATTGCATTGTTCAAAACGATGGATTCAGATTGAGACCCTGATATCTTACCTACACTAGCGCCTTTCTGTTCTATATCACAAATGTCAGATTTCAGACTAGCTGAAATGTCATTCTTCCCACCTATTTGACTAGCTCTACCATCCATTTGTAACCCTGTATCAAATTCATCAGTTTCATCAACATCACCAGATGCTTTACAGACTAGATCAATATCACTAGAAGCTTTTACCAAACCACTCACACATTCGTCACTTTTACTGCGAAAGTCCTGTAAACTGTGAACACGTTTAAACACTTCCGATCCTGAACTCTCACACTCAGCCTTAATCTCATGACTACCAATATTTATGTCATCAGATGACGAAACATCACAGATTTTGTCCCCTAGTTCATTAACAACCCTGGGAGACAGTCCAACATTTGATTGACTCACAGTTGGACTTGAGCGTAACTTTAAGTTTTTCATCACAGAGCATTGTTCAGATTCCGAACTTTGTTCAGATATGGTGGAATGGTTGCTATCTTCCGATATTGGGTTAACGGTAAAACCTACGATATTTGAACCACTTTTTCTCTTCTCGTAATACTCATTTTTCAAGTCCCCACTCACACATTTCTCTGATTTTGATTCTTTCATATTATCAAAGGTCAAGGATGAATGGCTGGTAACAGCGTTTTTTGATTTATCGTTTATCTTGCTCTCTTCTTCAGCTAATGTCAGATTCGATGAGGCTCTGTTATTGATGTTATGCTCAAATGTGATTGGTTGTTTTTCACAACTAGGTCCAGCTTCTGTGTTCTGATTGGTCGACTGACTTTTAAAATTGAGCTGCTCGTGTAAACTGTCAAGTAGAAGAGCTAGGAATTCTTGACAGTCATGCTGAAAGACAAGTTTGTAAGGATTATGGTATTACATTGTATAAATTAAAAGATCTTGAAGACTTTTTAAATCAAATATTTTTACTATGGTATTTCTCCAGCATAAAGCATTTAAGTTATTAAAACTTTACCTGCTAAATTTCTTAAAAGAACCATTATATTTTTGTAACAGTCCATTTTCAATTTTTAGGGATATCAATATCAAAATTTGAAGTTAGTGAATTCAGTATACAGCCTGGCCAAAAAGCTGAATAGGTAGGTTTTTGTTTGGCTGGTTTTACAGAGCTGTCAGCACTAATACAGTATTGGACATATAGTGCCGAAAGAGGAAAGCAACAACAGTGGTCAAACCACCTCTACTGCTGGAGCAAAGAGTTGCATAGACTGCATATTTTTTATGATCACTCGAGGATAAATGGTTAATGCAATTTTTATGCCTCAGCCATTAAAGCCTTTAAAGGCAACCCCTCTGTTACAAGGGGGCATGAATATGCAGGCTTTCCTGGCTCTATACTGGTGACAGAAACTAACTAGAGGATGCTTTTGTAAAAAAGCGCATGTCTCCCCCACTGCACTGTGACCTTGACCTTTGACCTACTGACCCCAAAAACAATAGGGATCATCTGCTCTATAAGCCCAATCATCCTATGAAGTTTGAGGGCTGTAGGTCAAAAGGAACTCTAGTTATCATCCGGAAACTAGAAATTGACCAACGGTCACTGTGACCTTGACCTTTGACCTACTGACCCCAAAAACAATAGGGATCATCTGCTCTATAAGACCAATCATCCTATGAAGTTTGAGGGCTGTAGGTCAAACAGGAACTCTATGTTATCATCCGGAAACGAGAAATTGACCAACGGTCACGTGTGACCTTGACCTTTGAACTACTGACCCAAAAACAATAGGGATCATCTGCTCAATAAGCCCAATCATCCTATGAAGTTTGAGGTCTGTAGGTCTAAAGGAACTCTAGTTATCATCCGGAAACGAGAAAATTGACCAACGGTCAGTGTGACCTTGACCTTTGACCTACTGACCCCAAAAACAATAGGGATCATCAGCTCTATAAGACCAATCATCCTATGAAGTTTGAGGGCTGTAGGTCAAAAGGAACTCTAGTTATCATCCGGAAACGAGAAATTGACCAACGGTCACTGTGCCTTGACCTTTGACCTACTGACCCCAAAAACAATAGGGATCATCTGCTCTATAAGACCAATCATCCTATGAAGTTTGAGGGCTGTAGGTCAAAAGGAACTCTAGTTATCATCCGGAAACGAGAAATTGACCAACGGTCACTGTGACCTTGACCTTTGACCTACTGACCCCAAAAACAATAGGGATCATCAGCTCTATAAGACCAATCATCCTATGAAGTTTGAGGGCTGTAGGTCAAAAGGAACTCTAGTTATCGTCCGGAAACGAAGAATGGACGGACGGACGGACTGACGGACTGACGGACTGACGGACGGACGGACTGACGGACGGACGGACAGGGCAAAAACAATATGTCTCCCCCCGAGGTGGGGGAGACATAATTACTTTCACTTCCAACAGGAAAAGAGTTTAGTATTCACTCAAGCAATCTTGTATTATCTAATTATACACTAAATACAATACCACTTCCTGGTTTCCTAACAAGTGTGTCAAAAATGATAACTTGAAAACTATTACAATTATACAAAAAAAAATTTCCTTGAAAATTCAATAAATTTCCTCAGTAGTTAAGTTTAAACATATTTAATTGCATTAAATACATGTTTACAAACATATCATACAAATAATGAGTATCTATAAAAATGCAAATGGGTTGGGCAACAAGTTCTTACAACACTAGATTAAGCCCTTCCTCAGTAGTTGAAGCTGTACTTATTAGATTATATTAGATGAAAGTTGTTATCTCACTTACTAAATTATAATCATAAAAGCCAAATATGGTATAACAGAAATGACTTGAAGTACATACAAATAACATTGATCAGTCCGACTTTGCAAAATGAGGGGAAGATAAACAATACATATATACTTGAGAGATTTTTTATCTCTCTCATTGAATTAAGTATATATTAACAATGTACTGTTTTTCGTTTCCAAAGCTGGTAACTTACAAATAATGTTATGACACGGTGGGTCAAAGGCCTGTAATGCCTCCGAAATGCTATCAGTTTTGTTCTCAAAAACTTTCTATATTTGATATTGTGTTACAGTTTCCTAAGACATACATACTCATTTGCCACAAAGATGAACTATCTTTTACTTCTTTCGCTCTGTTGGCAATGGGTATTAAATCATAGTGAATGAGTATTTTTCATGAAAGTCTAAATACTACTTTGTTAAAATTTTGCTACCTTTACAACACATTTTACTACACATTCAGCACAATTTTATTCATTTGTTAAACATTTAATATGCCCTAAATCCATTATCAAAACATTATTAAACACATGTTTGACATTTCTAAATTTTTTAAAGAATATGGACTTGTGAGGCAAAATGTCCCTTTAAACTTGACTTGTTAAAGAATTTACTTTAATCTTTTTCATTAACAGTAAATGAACATTTTCAATTACTATTACATACCTGTCTATAATCCTGGAACTGTGTATGGTAGATCCCAAGGGTCTGTTTAAACTCTTTCGGATGAACAATCGAATATTGACCAGACCAGATCTTTGCGAACAACTTTTGAAACTGTCCGAAAAGTGTGTCGTCGAAAGTTTTTCCGCTCTGATAGTAGCCGAGGAGGAATTTGACTAGCGGCATGGTGCTCATCAGACATTGTAGGCCGGAGTTCATGAAACAGGTGTTACCTAGGTTATGAAGACCACATCTACCTCGAATACCTGCTCCATCTGTAATCATAATTATAACATAATAAATGTATCAGGAGTGTCAGTAGTGACAAATAAATACAAATATCAGTTTTTATTTATAATAAATAATAAAGTAAAAATAAACCAAATTCATCTCTCAAAAACTTGGCAATATACAAATAAATATGAAGAATTAAGAAAATTATAAAATAAACTAGATAACCTAACTATTGTATTCTAATGTTGATATCAGATATATCATACATTTTAACTTTTCACATGTCATTAAATATACAATGTATATGCAACCTATGTTAAACCGAGCCTGCAACATTTACAATTTTGCCATGTTGGGCTTACTTAAAGGTTTCTTTTTTTCTCTATTGTATTTTGAAAGTTTTGTTTTTATGTTTAAGCTTAGTTCCAGATGTACAAATGTAAACAACTTATTATAAGGCCTTATCTTTTCAGTTTCTTCTTTCTTAAAATCTCCATATTTTCAGTTATTAAAACTACATAAAACTTTAACCTCATAGAAAAACAAAAACTGGCCGCAAAGAAAACTTTATAAATAGGAAGACATACCTCTAACATCTTTGTTGTATGTGACCAAGCATGTGCTAGGTTCTGTAAAATATAAAACAGTGAACACAATTAACCCTTACAAACTAAATATCTGAAATGGACTTGTCCATCTTTCAATCTGGACAAATTTAGGGGGAAATTTTAAAAGATGTTCGAACAGAATATAGGAAAGTGTAGACAATAAACAGACAACACAAAAGTGCCGGACGATCGTGGTCTGCACTGGTTGCATGAGTAGAGTCAGCAACTACTAGCAGGCTTAAAGTAAATACTGTTAAAAATTTGTCAATGACAAAGGCAGATTACAAAATACAATAATAAGGAAATCTAAATATTGCTGACCGCGTGTGGGTTCAAATCCTTTCTGGGGCAAGCTGTTATTTCCTTGAGCAAGAAACTTACAGTAACATTGATTCATTGCTCAGTAGGGGTTCCAGGAATGGATTCTCGGGTGTTTCATTAAGCTTATAACTTCCAACATAATCCAACTAAAATAAATTTTATGAACTATTAAAAGGCTTCAGTAATTACTTTTTGGTTCCAGCAGGCTACAGGCTAAGGTGTGATAAAAACATGAATTAGTTGTTCAGAAAGTTTTACCTGTTTCTGTAAAATTTGAAGGTCCATATACAACAGAGGGAGATGTACTTGGTGATGTCTCTTCTAGAGCTGAAAAACACAATACACGAGGTCCATGAATACCTTACATACATCACAGACAATATATCTAATTTTTCATTCATTATTCTGTAAATGTCCTCAAAATGAATACACTAGGCAGTCAAAGAAACAAAACTTGGCCCCTTATAAAGAATAAAATGGTGGTTTCCTAACTTGACCCGCATGGGTCAGGTTAGAGCATTAAGATTTCACAATGTCTCACTGAATTCTGCAAACGTTACAGAACATGTCAAATGAATGACTTAGACTTGTTTCAATCATTCAATATCCTCAAAATATTTTATAGTAACTTCAAGGGTTTGTTCAAGTCTTATGACTTGTATTAAAACTACTCGGTGATTCTGTTGGCGTCTAAATTTCGTTCAAAATATATAGATATATTTACGCTTCAAACCCAAAATAACTAGAATTTATACAGAAATTCATGCTGAGACTTTAAAAAAATGTAAATTTAGCGTGATTTGAGTACATAAGATCATTTTAATACTTTTGTCATTAATAAATCCGAGTATCTCTTTAAATACGGCATGTAAAAAGGATTTGCCATAGATCTGTTATTGCAGATGTCATAAACAACTTTATTGTAATTGCAGCATTTATTGATGCTTATTATGTTAAAATTCTATACGGATTTCCCTATAATGGAATTGATGCCTTTGCCCTTCAACTTTTCTGTTATTATAGACTTCATGTAGCGAATGCTTTCAATCTCTCTGATAATTTTGAATTACTAATTTTTATATCTTCCATTCTTTGTATCTTGTTCAGTTTTTCAAAATAGGTTACCATGGTTACAGGGCTCAAAATATCATACCTTCAAATCCTAGGGCTATCGGTGTGGCATACACATCACTAGAGCTTGTGCTCACCTCACTTGTTTTATCATTTTCTGATTCCATAACTTCACCTCAGTTCTTAAGAAGCTGGAAAAAAATAATGTGTAACATTTACAACCAATGAAACTTGCAAAGTTGCTTCCCTTACCACTCCAGTCTAATACACTTAATTTTCACTATATTCTGTTTAATATCATGCATGATTAGTTTGTTTATAAAATTTTCAGAATGTGCAGTGTTTGAAATAAGCTGTAGCCTGATAGCCCATGACTATAGTACTGAATTTCTCCTCGGGGCTACTAATATTTCACATAAACATGCCTATAAAGATAAACCTATGTGTTTTATGGTGCAATTGTGATATATAAAGGATTTTTAAGTTCGAGCTAGTAAAATGACTTGCAGGTTTACAAATATTCCAATATTAAAATCTGAATTTCAAATACTGCCCCTGAATCATAAACAGTTATACACTGTGACACGCTCCCCTGAAATCCTTGAAGTTCTCAGGGTTACAGTCAGCAATGTGAATTAAACTCTGAGCATCATGGAGTTAAATATAGTTGGAGAAGAAACTGTGATCAGGGTTCTCGGGGACGCTTATTTCGGCGTCCCGGTACGCATGTTTATTACAGCTGGACGCAAATATTTCAGAGCAAGGATTCCACGTACGCTTAATTTTGCCTGGGGACGCATAAACCTTACCGATTGTTTACAACCACAAATACACAAATACATCAGCGTATAGGTAGGCGGTCCTATGCACATCGACCCGTGAAGCGATTAGCCAATCAGCGATAACGCTCCCGATCATTATCACGCAATAGTGATTAGACAAATGTATACACACGCTGTACAGTACATGTAATTACCAGATATAACACGAGGTGATAATTTTATGTCTTTGATCAACAGTTGATTGGAAATTAGCAAATTTTACCGACAAAAGGATAAAATTATCGACTATTTACGCCGCAAGTTTAAAGACTGTTTTCTCAAATGACAAATGAGTGTAATTTTGAATGATTGTCGAATATTTTCGGCATTTTCTAGGCACAATTTCGCTTTAGTTTCATTCTTGCAAAAACTTTCTATAAGAGTATTATGAATTTAAGATATTGTGCCGAAATGCCAGGACTACAAACCAAGATACGCTTTTATTCTATCCGAAAATTGATCCCGAACATCGACAATTTCACGTTCGCCAGAAACCCTAAAATTTCGCAAAAATTCTCAGTTTCCAAGCCAAACATGCGAATGAATTGTTCCTTTATTATTTAATCAACATTAAATCTTTAAATATCGATCTTCAATTTGCCCCCTTTTGAAGATATTTGCCAAAATAATTGTCGATCGGATGAATCTCTTACACACTGTGTGAAGCTGTACACGATTTTCCTATTCATTCCGCTAAACGCTGCCTACTGCAGTATATACATTTACGTGTTTTTATTTACAAATATAAACTTTTTGTCTTTAGAGTGGACTTATTTAACCAGAATAAAATTTGATTTGGTATAAAAGTGAAAAAAAAAACGATTTCCATTTGTTGCATTATAATAAAATAATATCATAATAAATATTAACAAAACAATAATTTAAATTATACTATGTAGTTCAGAGTTTCTTTTGAATAACTATAAACATTGGAAGTCTCTTGAAGATTCAAAATATCAGCAATGCTATTGAATGACTAATCTGTAAACATATTAATTGCGACGCGCTTTTGGACTCCAACTTTTTCAGGGTTGGGAGTCCATGGACTCCATGTTTTAAAGTCCTAGTGAGAACCCTGTGTGATGTTACACAAATTCAGTATCGGCGGAAATGTGTTCACACAAGTTATCATGTGTAGCTGGAATTTCCAAGATTTGATGCTTCCCAGGTAAAAGCAGCCAAAATACTGCCATGTTGAATTCCCGGGCCAGGCCTTTCCCCAAGCGCTTTAAGCACCGCGCTCCTGCTGTACCTTAATCTCCAAATAAATCTCACCGCTGTGCCATAAAAGTCACAGCAGCACTTGATTTTTCTGATCCCTGTTTACAATTTCGTATAGCACTTACAGAATCTTGCCAGTGTCTGGCAAAATTCCTAGGGAAAGGCTTGCAGGGGTACATTGACGAAGCATTTTATACTAATTTCAGCGATTTTTTTCTCTGAATTGTGAATGGGTCCGGTACCATAAAAATTGTGAAAAAAAAGAGCATTGTTTCTTAACAAATTGTGAATTTTTTACTTAAGATTGTGAATATCTTTTTAAGCAGTAAGAACATATAATTTTTTAATGTAGTATTTACTGTTACGAGACATTTTAAATGATGTTTACAGAAATTACCAGACGCTTGTTTCGGTATTGATTTGTCCCTAGAAGTTTCGTATTAAAACAGTACAGGGTGATTGCACCGGAAATCATTGTCGACTAAACGCATTTTAAGATAAACAAAGCACAACAGGCAAAATTTTAGCATCATTATGTGAAGGGAGGAAATAATACGTTATTAAAGGCTTAATTAATCGGAATTGTGAAATTTCATCAGAATTGTGAACGGGTCCGTCGGACTCAGTCTGAAAATTGTAAAGGTACGTTTGTGATTGTGAATGGGTCCGTTATTCTGTACCACTTCATAATATAGGGAAAAAAATCGCTGATATTTATCGTACAACATACAATGTGCACACTTTTCCACACAAATATTTCTCTAATGAAAATCTTGCTGGCAATTTAAACAAAAATTCAGATATCGCCAAAGTTTAACATAAACAGGAAAATCAGAGACTAGCTAGAAAATCCAATAATCACCGAAGCCTGCAAAGAATTATGGGTGTGAATCTGACTATTGTCATAATAATTTTCAGAGCTTCCTATCCATTTAGTAAAAAAATATTGACGTGCCAAAGCTTGATTCTGTGATATTTTTGTTCTGGGGCAGAATCTCGCTTTACATATTGCGAGATATTGCCGAGACACGAAAATAGCACAATATCTTGTCGCGCAGTACAATTAGTTGGACTACCTATCCATTGTATGTATATCTGTAGTCACAGTCCCCAAGGGGATCATCAAAAAACACAGGGTCACAGTCCCCAAGGAGATCCTCAAATGTCACAGGTTGAAATAATGAGAGACGCGAACCAGGGACCCTCAGATACCCTTCCACAACTTTACTGAATGAGCTACATGTATCTGACTGCTTTACACTGCACATCTAAAAAGATGATCACTCCTAAAACTAGCCCAACAAATTGTGCGCTTTAGGGCTTTTTTTATATAGACGATGGTCGCTCTTCGCGCACAACCCACTTACGATTCAAAACAATGCGGAAAATTTTCCTCCTTTGTAGAGGTGTCATCGATAAGGATTTTTGTATCGATATATCGGTAATGAATTATCGGCGATACAGCGATATATCGATTGCCAGGCTAAATTTTAGCTTTCAAGTCTTTTTAAATGTTTCCTAAGGACACTGACAAAGCAGTTATATATAGACAAATGCAAAAAAGATAAACTATGAAAACTGAACAATTTGTTTCTTTTTTTATACAGCTAAAAATGAAAACTAATGACTAGTAACTATAAAGTTTAAAGCCTTTTCCATTTTACTTTTGTTGTTGTTGTTGCTATTACGTAGTTACTGATCATGCTAAATCCCGTCCTTGCCGCTCTAATAAAGCCGGGTTTAATTGGCAAATTGTAGTGTTTAGAACCTGAATAATTATTAAAGTTTAACATTTTGTAATCATAATTTTTACAAAGAAACACTGACAATTTTTTCTTGGCATTTTCCCTTTTTAAAATCTGAATTGAGGGGTCTTGACATCCACTTAGCAGACGTGCGAGATTACAACGAAATTAGGCAGCATTCGTTAAAAACACTGGGAGGTAACTTTGGCATTGATTTCCGTTTTCATTTTTAGAAAAAAAATGTTTCTGGCATCCATAACTTTACATGTCGCTTTTATTTTGACGTTTTGCGACAGTAAACAGGTCTGTCAGTTCTATAAAACCTGTTCGCTGAAGTCTCTTTAGCTAAAAATATATGTGCATTCGATATCCGATATTTAAAAAATGGAATCGATATCGAATCGGATAACAAAGATCGTTGATACACCGATATCGATTGAATTGATGACACCCCAACTCCTTTGTGAGCTATCAGACTGCTTTACACTGCACATCTAAAAAGTAGTCCAATATATTAGACGTTACAGGCTTGTTATAGTTTTTGTCGGTCAAGCCTGACGTCTAATAGTTATTGCTCAAAAACGCATAGCATCATAAAAAATTCCAAAAATGTCTATTGTCTTGCCTTTCAAGCTTTATTCAAAAGCTTATCATATTTTCTTTCAATTTCATGCTCAATCATACACAAAAACTTTCAAACAATGTACTTATCAATTTAAAATAAAATATAAACATCAATCTATTTTTGTCTATCAGCCATACTGGTTAAGCAAGGTGCTTTACAGATTGATTCCAAATTTTTGAACGGAAAAATATATTCGAACACACTGACGGTGCATGGGCAATTATTTCGTTAAAAAAATATTCCGTTAGATTGTTCTGACTCAGTTAAACGCTTGCATTTGAATTAGCCAATCAGATTTCGCGCACTTTACGGCCGCCATTTGTTTATCGGCTGTAAAAGGAATTGAAATACATTAGAGGATTTAATCATGATTTTTCGGATGTGACAGGTTAATTATTTTGACAAAAGGTATTCATTTTTTAGTTTTGTTCATAAATAGGTCAAAAATTATGTAAATACACGGCAATCTCCTGGTTTAGACCCCTATGTATTTTTCAGGAGTAAAACATGTATAAAATACACTAGAGAAAACGGAATGAACCTTATATATACTCCTGGTTTAGACCCCGGGGTCTAATCCAGGATATAGCCAAGTACACGTTGTCTTCATTGTTTTTCGTTCCGCCCGATTTTCTGGCGGAACATGCTATGGGTTTTTGAGCAATTTCGATATGACGTTGCTTTGCCCAGAAGCAAAAATATCTCAAAGCGACGTCATATTTATAGGACTAATCTAAAAAGATGATCACTCCTAAAACGTGAACAGTTCTACACCTTGGCAACAACATAATACCCCTTTGCAAGTCAGGATTAAAATGACGAGACAAGCATGTTATAGTATGCCAAAGCAGGTGCGTAGTCAACATCTTTATTTAAAATTGATTGTTGCAATTTTTCACTGGGAAATCAAAACATTGAACTGTTTACTAAAAACCTGCCAATTATTTTCAAAGATTCATGCTCGATTAACATCAATATGTAGGAATCACCAAAGCTCAGATGATAAAACGCATTTCAATAAACAAATATATTTACCGTCAGATTTATTTTTATAATTTCATGGTTATTGGAAAGGAAAATATGCACATTTCATCTTCCTTGTTTCCACGGACATGCGTGCTTGGCTTTTCCGGTAAAAACGGAAATGAAAAGTTTATGTCGTCACCGTTTATAAAATGAAAGTAGAAAATCGCAAGATTTCACAATTTATTTCTGTAACAAACAGTAACTGTTAACATTGTAATTTTGATAAGGTTAATGGAAAATGTATTGCTTTTTATAATCATTATTCATAAAGTTCAGTTTGTTATCACTTTTTTTTAATTTAGATTTAGTAAAAAAAAAAAGGAAAAAAACATCAACAAAATTTTCAATGCAATTCTCATTTTTGTAGAATTTACTGTACAGTACAATTCAGTACAGTAGCCCTGAGAAGGATGACAATTAAAATTACCAAAATCTTTGAGCTTTGGTGTTTCATGTTTATTCTCAACTCTAGCCCTATATTTTTGCTTCTTGAATAAAATCATTTTTCAGAAAAAAAAATTCAGTGACAACCTATTCAATTTTGTTACGTAACAGTAGATCTACCAGTTTTCATTGAGTATCCCACATACTTACGTACCAGTAATATGAAATGAGGCAAAGCCTATGAACAGGGAAGTCTGCTGAAAACATTATTCATTTTTCCATTTTAAAAGTGTCATTCGGAATTTCATGCACTCAGAACACTCTACATTGAATTATTATTAATCCGAAAAGTTGCAATTGTTTTGTATCAGATTCAGAATACCCTGCCTATTATCATTGAATATTTCAGTGCCCAACTAGAAATGACATTGAAAATTACATCGATAGATATAGAATTCTATATATTCTTTAATTGTTTTTTATTTGATTTCCTTTTAAATATATACATGTGTAGTCTTTAGCCCCGCAAGCCAAAGCCTGGGTTCACTCTGCCGTCCTGGCCTTTGACTTCCCTTAGACAATAAGTCCATGTGACAGAATACTCAATCCATGTATAAAAACATTCACATGGGCATGCCTTCCAGTGATGCCTTGGTGACTTAATAAGTTGTGTCAGATGTGACCTTTGAAGGTCTAGAACAATTGAGGTAACCATGTAGATGAGTTACCTCAATAGAGAGATGACTGGTCAAGCAATTACTGACCAGATCATCTTTGTGTCCAGTTGACAGGCGATCAATCAATAAGAGTTATGTAAAAACATGTTAAGACAATTTTAAAACACAAAAGCAGTGTTAACATCATTAGCCAGTTAGTTAATATATTACTTTTATTTACACCATTGACTGCATTCGACTACAGACACAAAAAAATGTTTCACAACATTCAACACAACAAAATTAGCCAAAAGATAATAAGGCGCTAATCTCCAGTTCCTTGTATGGCTTTTTTATGTCCCAGGTATGACAGGTAACGATTAGCAGTCAGGTAACTAAACGCAAAAAGAATTTGTAAAAAATATATGCCAAGAAAAGATTCTTAAAATTAAATTATTTTTATTATTTATGAATGTATTTTTGAAGGTTTCTATTTTTCTGTATAAATTTAGATTTGAGTAATGGAGATTTTACGACCACAGATTGTTCGAATTGGTAACAGGTGTTATAGAAAGAATCCGGTCCTGCAGAGAGAGGGTAACACAGCTGAAGAAGAAGAATTTACAGGTATTAATTTGTTTTATCACATGCTATTGCTTGTTTTCAATGTTATGCATTTACTTGCAACTTCTGGTTTTAGTTTGTTTTGGAATATCACACAAATTAAATGTTACTGTAAAAATGGCCTAATGTTGTCAACTCTATGTAAATTTTACAGGTAACAGAAATTATAGGATGTAATATCAAGATATACTTATGGCCCTATTTATATTGCAAACAACCATTTATATACAGTCATATAACCTGTCAAAAATCTTTATAATGAATTTATAATGCAGCAAAAAATTTCAATAGAGGAAAAAACGAGATTTCTTCATAAATGGACAGCAGCCTTGTATATGAAACTATATAAGCATCACAATTAGCCAAACATGCAGTATTATAAAAGATGCTTATTTGGTGATTTAAAAATGGGAAAGCTTTGTCTAGATGAACATCATTATGCAATGTTTATAATCGCATGAAATGGTGAACAACCATTACTTTTCTATGGAAGTAACTGTCAACTTCTTGTCATTTCATTATTTTACAACAGATTTTATACCAGATTCTTCCGGTTGGAATGATGAAACATGTACGCTAGATACACCGGACATAGAACAAACTTCAGATGGGTTTCAAACAGCAATTCAAGCACCGAACGGACTTCTCAAGTTTGTCATTGGGAAGAAAGGTGAAACTAAGAACAGGTTGGAGGTGGAAACACGCACAAAAATACGAATACCTAAGCAAGGACAGAAAGGAGATATAGGTTTGTTTTGACATGTTACGCCTTCTTTTGTTTAAGTTCTAAAGCAGCACGCCCCCAGCTTTGTGTTGATTTTTATGAAATCTTAAAAATGAGTGTGAAATGTTGTCATGTGTACAAACTAAGTGAATTTTCCCTTTTTGAAGGCGCTGTCAATCTATGGAAATGACCTATAACTATATAAAAAAATCTCTTACTTCATCAGTAGCATTATAGAAATTTGGTGGACCAGTTTAACATAACTATTTCTGTTATAACAGTAATTCAGGGACATGACAGAAATGGAGTGATGTCAGCCAAGACACGTATAGATGTTCTTTTAGACTCAGGAAGACAAAAAACTCCATTCACACATTTCCTGTCTATACCATTCAATGCTAAACACTTCCAAGACAGTCTGACAGATTTCAAGAATGATGTGTTAAGGGAGTGTGATGGGGTAAGTCTTAAGGGTAGACACATAGTAGTAATAATTCAATTCATAAAAGCTGTAAACTTTAAATATGTTAATTTTAGATAAATTGTGTCATATAATTGTCAAATCAAAATAACTAAGGTGGAAAATGAAATTTGCTGCTGATAAAATACAAAAACAATAAGGAAACCCCTCAATACCTCTTATCAAATTGTCTGCTCTCTACACTGACAGACTTTGAAAACACATCAGTTAGGTTTTTCCTTTTTTATAGGGAAGAACATATTCCATTTTTATACCCCCAAAAACGAAGTTTGGGGGGGTATATAGGAGTCACCCGGTGGTCGGTCGGTTGGTCGGTCGGTCCAGCGGTCCGTTGCATTTTCCTTGTCCGGAGCATAACTTGAAGACTAATGGTTGGAATTCAATATAACTTCATACAATGGTCAAGCACATTGAGAGGAAGTGCAGTGCATAAGAACCATAACTCTATCTTGACTAATTACAGAGTTACTGCCCTTTGTTACTTTTCCTTGTCCGGAGCATAACTTTAAAACTACTGGTTGAAACTCGAAACAACTTCATACAATTGTCAAGCACAATAAGGGGAAGTGCAGTGCACAAGAACCATAACTCTATCTAAAGTAATAACAGAGTTATTGCCCTTTGTTATTTTTCCATTGCTTTCTTTTGTCTGGACTCAAACTTGAAGACTAATTGTTGGAATTCAATATAACTTCATACAATGGTCAAGCACATTGAGAGAAAGTGCAGTGCATGAGAACCATAACTCCATTTTGACTAATTACAGAGTTACTGCCCTTTGTTACTTTTCCTTGTCCAGAGCATAACTTGAAAACTACTGGTTGGAATTCAAAACAACTTCATACAATGGCCAAGCACAATAAGGGGAAATGCAGTGCACAAGAACCATAACTCCATTTTGACTTATTACAAAGTTATTGCCCTTTGTTACTTTTCGATTGCTTTTTTTTTGTCCGGAGCATAACTTAAAGACTTCTAGTTTGAATTCAATATAACTTCATACAATGGTCAAGCTCATTGAGAGGAAGTGCAGTGCATGAGAACCATAACTCCATCTTGACTAATGACAGAGTTATTGCCCTTTGTTACTTTTCCTTGTCTGGAGCATAACTTGAAAACTACTGGTTGGAATTCAATACAAATTCATGCAGTTGTCAAGCACATTAAGAGGAAATGCAGTGCACAAGAATTATAACTCCATTTTGACAAATTACAGAGTTATTGCCCTTTGATACTTTTCCTTGTCTTGAGCATAACTTAAAACATACTGGTTGGAATTTAAAACAACGTCATACAATGGTCAAGCACAATAAGAGAAAGTGCAGTGCACAAGAACCATAACTCCATTTTGACTAATTACAGAGTTACTGCCCTTTGTTACTTTTCCTTGTCCAGAGCATAACTTGAAAACTACTAGTTTGAATTCAAAACTATTTCATACTATGGTCAAGTATATTGAGAGGAAGTGCAGTGCACAGAAAGCATAACTCTTTTTTGACTAATTTAAAAGTTTTTGCCCTTTGTTACTTTTTATTGTCCAGTGCATAACTTGAAAATTAATGGTTGGAATTCAATGAAACTTTATACAATGGTCAAGGGCAGTGAGATGAAGTGCAGTGCACAAGAACAATAACTCTATTTGGACTTTTTACAGTTATTGCTTTTGTTACTTTTTTGTCCAGTGCATAACTTGAAAAGTAGTTGTTGGAATTCAATACAACTTCATACAATGGTCAAGCGCAATGAGAGGAAGTGCAGTGTACAATAGCCATAACTCAATCTTCAGTATTTATAGAGTTATTGCCCTTTGTTCCTATTCCTTGTCTTTCTGGACTTCTTACAGAGTAATCCAATAAAACTTCATCAATGGCCAACCACATTGAAAGGAAATGCAACATACAAGAACCATAACTATCTTTAATTGCCCACAACCATAACTCTATATTTCAATTCTTTTACAAGGTATTCTGTTACTAGTAACATCCTCATTTCCGAAGCAGTCTTGCGGGGGGTATTAATCACATTTAGTGATAGTTCTAGTTTTAAATTTTTTGCATACTTAAGGACACATGTTTCTATAATTATCAGTTAAAAAATGGTTTCTGTAACTGCCTCTTTTGTTGAGTTTTAGTCGAAAGAAAATAAAGAAACTCTCATACCAGTTTGGTGATTTATATCCAATATCATTCCATTTATGAAAAATATCCATGAATGATTATATAGGAGACTTTAATTCATTTATACATAATGTAGTAGTACTATAGTTGGTTTAGACACATGGGGAAATTTTTATATTCTTTTTGTACAGCATGTGATGCTTTTGTTGTATTTGATATTGAAACTTATGGACTGTTTCAAATAGGGAGCTGGACAAATCTATTTCACAAATACAGCAGGTTAAAGGCTAATCTAAGGAAATTACATAAAGTATTTAACCTACATATGATAATGGTGAATAAATTCACGTTCCTGTATATGAATTTGTATGATCTTTGTGATTCATGTTTTATATTTCAGGATCGTGGTGTAGATGGTAGTATATTTCAGACACCTTGTAAACTTCACCTAACAATTGGTTGTCTGGTATTACTGGACGAGACAGATATACGTAAAGCTGTTGATACATTACTAGAATGTCGGGAAGATCTTATTGAGTAAATATTTTATATTTTAACTAATGGTATAATTTTTAAACTAGGTATATAATACACATAATGGTATAACTATGACACTGGTAAAAGTTAATACAGGTATACTGGTATAACTGCACATGTATATACAGATAATGACAGAGCTACATATACAAATAATGGTATAATTACATACAATGGTATAACATAACCACATGGTATAACTACATATACAAATATACACAGATAATGGTTTGTCATAACCACATGGTATAACTACGGTATAAATGGTATAATAATAAATTACAAAATAAATAGCAAATAATGGTATAATGTACGCATATAATGGTATAACTTAACCACATGGTATGAATACATATACAAACAATGGTATGATTAAATTACACTGATAATGTTCTATATAGATATATAGGTATCAGTATATAGATCTTGATTTAAGACATGCACAGATAATGGTATGACTATACAGGTACTGATTTAAAATGTATAAATTAAAGCTATGTATCTGTTTCAAAAATTATTGTCTGAATTTTAAAAAAGAATGCTTCTAAAATATTTGTATTAATTAAATATGGCAGTAAATTACATTTAAAGCGAATGGTGCATGCGCATAATCATTGTTAAACAGATATAATCCTACTGAAAATAAAAAATGATTTTTTGTTCCAAAACATTTTATTCTGTTAACGTATAATATCTATGTGTGTTAAATAACAGAGACATTCTATGTTACAATTATTTCGAAGATTGACTGTAAGGTTATGGAACCAAAATAATTTTTCTGTTGATAGATTTTATAAAAATTTGGTATGGCTTTATACCCTTTAAAACTTCTTTATACACTGATAATTGTACATATATAAATACATTTTTGTGTTACTAAATTTTAGCATGTCAGATCTTTTCAAGGAAATTTACATATATGTATATTTATATGACTTTTACACAGACCGATTCTTAGAGGAGAGCCCTTACATGTACAGCTACATGGTCTAGAATATATGAATGACGACCCATCTGAAGTTGATGTCCTCTATGCCAAGGTGAAGGACACATCTGACAGGTTAGTTGATAAAATACAGGTACACAAAACAGTTACTTTTCCCCCACTGTTGTTTGTTTGAATCCCAACTTTGGATTATTTTATATGAAGATGCTACTCAGCTAGATCACTGAAGAGCAGTGGCTCAACTCAGATGACCATCTTGTGTGAAATAATGTTCCCAAGGTCTTGGAATCCACCAATATAGCTGAAAAGTCACCATGTGACCTTTACACTGTGGTGTTACTTAAGTGTTGTGTTACTTAGGAAATAGATATCAATTTTGAGTGCATTGTTGCAGAATAATACATGGTTGAAATTCAAATGTTTAGGAATATAATTAATTACAAAGCGGTTGAATGATAAACCATGCATTATTATACAGAAATGCACGAAAAATTAATATCTATTTCCATTCTAATATGCAAATAAAAATGAGAATTGATAAAAATATGTTGAACTACATTAAGTGTAGAAGTAATTAAGCTGATGTCATCTGGTTTATTTACGTCATATCTGACATCATATGGCATGGTAGCATTCCTTTTTTAATGCTGTGCATAATTATAGGGGGATGGTGTGAAGTGTGTTAGAATCAAGTGTTGTGTTACTGAAGAATAATTCAAAATTAAGAACAATAGATACAAACCGCAATTAAAAACATGAGATACATGTATAACTTATGATTTTGCAGGCTACAGATATTAGCGGACAGATTGGTGGACAAGTTTACAAGTACAGGATTGATGCAGAGGGAGTATGATAAAGTTAAACTACACATCACAGTCATGAATACACTGTTCAGAAAAGATCCTACAGGTATATATAAGTATAATGTTACCTTAGACAGACATTTTTCAACACCTCCAAACCCCCCCCCCCCCCTTTGACTGTCAGAGCTCTAGTTGTAGAAGAAGAAAAGGAAGAAGAATCTTTATTTTGCAAATTAACTCTCAAAAGAGTCATATACATGTACAAGCTTTCATAATTATATATACAATTGCATGTCTGCATAAGTAAATTACTAACATAGGAAGATGACGTGACTGCAAGTATTTCTTTTCTTTCATTATGTATGGTTACCATTGTATAATTACAGAGTATTTGCTGAGATACTTTTAACGATTGAAAGATAGAATATGGATGCTTACTTTATAACTGGATGTATATAGATTATATAGAACTATAAAACCTACACATTTTTGTGCCCACAAAGGGCGGCATATTAAAATTGCACCGTCTGTCCATCTGTCTGTGTGTTCCCACTTCATTTGTGTCCAGATTGTAACTTTGTCATAAATTTAGGGATTTTGAAACAGCTTGGTCAACCACATCAAGACGTGTAGTGTCTAAAAACCATGGCCCTACCTCAAAGGTCAAGGTCACACTACAATTTTGATTTCATTCTCTTTTCTTTTCATAATACCTGCATACTTAAGAAACCTTTTCGGGGACATTTGTCACTTGCGTGACAGCTCTTGTTTCAACCTCAAAACAAAATTATTATGAAAATTCTAAATAACAATGTTGCCTCTGATAATATATAAATTGTAATTAGCTATCATTTTCTATCTGCAGAATCTGGTACATTTCTAGAACACAAAAGTACATGTTATTTTCTATAATACGAAAATATATGTTATTTTCTAGAACACAAGAAATATGTTATTTTCAGGAACACAAAAATATATGATCTAAAATGACATGAAATAAATCATTAGTTATATGTTTATTCAGGAACAGATGAGCCAGTTAGGAAACAAGATCGAGGTCGGAGAGAAAGGGAGTCCTTTAATGCAATCAATTTGTTGAAGGTAAGTTTGAATGATTTGGTTTGGACTTTTCATCTATACTAATGTGTTTTATGTAGTTAGTTTGAATGAAATTTATTTTTGCATTCTAAATAGCTACACTTTGAAAGTTCAACACAACTCTGGTTTAACATTTCATTGCTGTTGTGGATTTTGATTTGCCTTTGCTACCAATATAAAGTCAAACCAGCCGCATAACATAAAGTCCCACAAAACTCTTCTTCTCAATTGTAGCTATTACATAGTGAAACCCCTTGGAATAACTTTGAACTGTTCCAAATTTAAAACAGATTAAGTCCATGATACAAGACGAAGTTTTAGTAAAAAAATTTATACATAAAATATTGTATAAAGAATTTAGGCAGGTCAAATGGCCATTTATAAATGCTTGCTGACTATATAACCCATGCTTGATGACTTGGGTTATATGAGCTATCAAATGCTGAGTCTGGGCCATATAACCTGTAAAAAGAAGAAATTATTTGTTTTAGTTTAAGTTGTTTTGTTCCTTTACACCATCACCAAGCTGAATATGAATTCTTTAGTAATTCTATCTGGACCGAACTGTTCATCATTTTAGGGGAAATTTCATATTATGTTTAGATTAAATACTAAATAGCAAACAGTGGAGGACATGTTTGACTGATCTCATGAGTTGAATCTGTTGCTGCAAGCTGGCTTTTGGTTAAAATGATAAAATTTATCCTAAATTTCATAAAGTTTATGTTATGGTGAAGAGAATAATGTCACAGGGTAAAAAAAAGATGCAGTCTCACAGTCACAGCCCAATGTTTGGCACCAAATGTCAGTGTTTGAGAAAAATTTGTAGCCTGACTGGAATTAGAACCTTTTGACCCTCAGAATAATGTTCCAAGGGTCTACCGACTGAGCTAGCAGCTTGGTGGTGATGTTGGTAGTTTTCACTCCGGAACAGGGCAGTAATTTTGAATTTACCAGAGCACAGTTCAGCCACCACATCCAGCTTCCAGCACATCTTCTCTCCTTATTACAAGTTATAAGTGAACAATTCTGAATAATGACAATGGGATAGCTATCTGTTTTGTTTATTTTTTCAGAAATTTGGAGACTACAGGTTTGGTGAAGACACTGTGAATATTGTTCATTTATCTCAGAGACATAGTTTTGGAAAAGACGGCTACTATACATGTGCTGGAACTTTAAACTTTTCATGATCTGTGATTGAACATTGGTCTTACTTTATTTAACATTAAATTATTGAAATTGTGGAAAATAATTCCTTGTGGTGTAGTGAATGTCCATTTACCCCCATATTCCTACCATACAGATTCAAAAGGAGTAAAAAAAGTTCGCAAGCCAAATACAAAAGTCTTGCACTGCTGAAAATGAATAAATACAAAGCAATCAGGAAAAAATATGAATAATTACTAAAGTATCATGCTGAATATGAATAAATACAAACTACTTATGTACAATACATGCTGAAAATAAATAATTTATGAGAAATGAAACTACATATGAATAAATATGTACAAAAAAAAACTTTAAAAAATAAATAAATATGTACATGATGTAGAAAAAAACTTTCGAAAATGGATAAATACGTACAAAAAAAACTGTCGGGAATGGATAAATACTTACAAAAAACACTTTCAAAAATGAATTAATACGTAATATGTAAATGGATACTTTAAAAAATGAATAAATATGTACAAAAAAAATACTTTTTAAATGAATTAATGAGCTGAAATCCTGCTGAATGTGTATGCGTGTATAAAAAAACATGGTAGAAATTAATAATTAAGTAGAATGGAAAATACAGGACTTGCATAACATAAAGTGTTACTATAACTTAAACACATAACGTTACGTTATTTGATTGTAAAGTAAAGAATATGTAAAAGTATTATGTACTCGTAATTTGAATTTTGAAAGCAAAAGTCCATGTATATAGTTTAAAAAGGCAGAAACTGGCCATATTTAGGATCTATATATATGGACATGTATAAGCGGATGTGAAAATTTGTAAATTAAAACTAATACATGCAGATTAATTCCTATCAATTAATTTTTAAATGAAAGTCTCGTCAATTTTGTTGAACAAAAGAAACATGTGAAATAACATGTAATTAATAAAATAGACACGTGTCATTATGTATTTACAAGTAAGATTTACTAATTGTTTAATTAATGACAATACACGTGGATCGTAATTGATATAAGACTGTCGTCTGCACGGAAACAGTCGCCACGTGGTGTCAATTATATCTGGTCACGTGATCATGTCAATTATAACGGAATGTTTATAAGAAAATTTTAATCTGTTTTGGTACATTCATTTTCTTCTGCTTCTCAAAGATAATACATACAATCAAATCGTACAAATTTTAAATCTGAGCAAATTCTGATCTGAATTTTAAAGGTAAATTGACTTTCAAATTTATTTATTTCTTGAACAGAGCCTCACTTATGTATATCTGTAAAATAATGTATTGGTATTATCATAAGTTCAAAAAAGGAGTTACTTGAATAAATGATTATATATTTTTAAAATGCCTGCCTCGCTTCCACAGAATCACATTCAAAACATAGACACGTGTTATGCGAAATGATATATTTGATTTCAATAAACATTTAAACATCCAACAATTTAACACAAATTCTGATGTTTACACCGTCATAATAAAGATTTTATTTTTTACAACAATTTAATATATTTTTATCACTCTTATTCAGATGAAGTCCAGTCACGTGGAATCAAAGATGGCGTCAATTTCTCGTGCTAAGAAAACAATGAAGCGTCTGAGGGCCCTGATTACAAAACATGAACTGAAAACTGAACAAAAATTGAATATAAATGACTTGGATATATCTACTTCAAATAAACAAATTGAGTATGTGAAGAATATAACTTTAGTTAAACCTTCAAAGCATATGGTGTCTAATCTTTTGTCAAACAGAAGTCTTTCAGTCAGGACGCCGGGTGACGGCATGGAGAACACGTCATACGTCGGACAATTGAGGACACCCGGCGTTGGAGAAGAAACTAACTGCTTGACAACGAAAGAAAGAAGTTCTCTAAATACGGGATTTATTTCAAGCTGTGACGAGAATGAGAAGAGAAATGAAAAAGTTGATATGAACAAATGTGCTATATTTGAAAATGACGAAATATCATTCACTGATGACGTAAACTCTGATGAAGATGATAGTGTTAGTGAATTAGAAATAAATGTTCTAGAAATACATGATGATAAGTCCTTGCTCAACGATTGTGTGATATATGAAGATGACGAAAAACATGTTTTTGAAGATGACACTGATTGTGAGAGTATATGTGAACTTGAAATGAACATTCTAGAAGTTTATGAGAACAACACAAAACTTGAAGCAAGTCAGATAAAGGCAATGTTTACTAAAACAGACCTGAATGCTAGATTAATTAATGAAGATGATTCAATGGAAAGTTTTATGAACACGTTTTATAGAGAATGAGATTTTCGTTTGGTTTAAAGTCTGAAATTAAATTACTATGTCGGACCATGTATAGGGTCCATGATGAAGAGAGTTTTTTATCCAGAGCATTGTTTATTGATTTGTTACAAGTGTGCTATATTGTTATGTTATTTATTCAAATTATGAAATAAATTTATTGAAAAAAAACTTGTATATTGTTCTTTCTTAATCTTGTCCTTAAAGAGGAAAGTTTCAACAACATCGTCGTCAGTGATCTCGTGAATTTTGTCGACGCGTGGGTTCCCATTTTTCCATTAATTTAAGAATAGAGCCAAACAGTTGTATCTGTAATAAACGATATTATTAGTTAAAGCTGCATGCCTCCAGATGAGTCAAAATATATCAGGAAAATCAAAAATTGAGAAAAATGTACTATGATTGTAAAAAAGTAGCATGATTCAAGTAATAGTTCACATGTTATGAGCGATTAAGAACTGACTTTGCAGTATTTATTACCATATTTCTACTGCGGAATTAATACACTAAGGGCTATTTTTGTATATGTTAAGCTCCTTTTGGAAAATTACTTGGATTGTTTGTGCGTTTGCAACGTGTAAATTACTTGCTTTGTAAACCTTCTTAATATTTTACTTTTAAATACAATGTATTTTTTCAAAATTGTCAAGAAAATTTCCATGAATCTGGAGGCATGCCGCTTTAATTACTCTTTGCTATGAAATGTAGCTGCAAGACCTATCTAGGCTATACCAGAACCATGATGAATCATTTAAATTTTAATTGTATGCAGATTAAAGGAGCAATATACTTTCTTTATAAGTAATTCTGGCCAGCTCTGCACTATATCCATTATTACACGATATGTGCAAAGCATAAAAACGAATGATTAGACGTCATATGACGTCAATAAACCAAATGACGTCAAGGAAATTATATCTACGCGCAACGTAGTTCAACGTATTTTTATCAATTGTCTTTTTATTAGCATGCTACAATGGAAACAGATATTAATTTTTAGTGCATTAGAGTAGAATATTACACGGTCTATCGGCCTTCGTGATTATATTTCTACGCATTTGAGCTCGAACCGTGTACTTTTTCTTAACAATGCATTGAAAATTGACAAATATTTCCTAAATATAAACCGATCAGTATTGTTTCTCTACTGTTCGTTTGAATGCCATAATTCCTCGCATTCGAACTGCATACAGTGACTTTATTTAGCGATAAAATCATTGCTGGGGATATATTATTTCTACACAACATTTCAAGAATACATGTAAACTTTGCAAACAAGTACTATATTGAGTTATCTTAAATTTCTATTGGGCAAGAGTAAAGAAGATCTATAGTTATTAATATATTCAGTATTATATAATGCAATAAGCTCTGAACTCAATACACTTAATACTCAATTACACATATGCGGATGTTTCAAAATTGTACCACTTCATGATTGTTGAATTCTGCTTAAGCCGGTGCTAGGGGGCGTGGACGGTAGTTTGCACTTGACAGCACCGTCCATGAACAGGCTCAATCAAAACGAGCCTACAACATTTACAATTTTGCCGTGTTGGGCTTTCTTTAGGGATTCTTATTTTCTCTAGTTTTTTACTCATGTGAATAGAACCAAAATCCCACTACCTGTATAACAATTTGTGCAACCTCTATTATATACCCTGACCTGAAGTAAACGTCTTCTGTGAAAGTCGACGTTGGACTTAAAAAAGAGAAAATAAAACTCCATATAAAACGCCCAATTTACACCAAATTTAGTAATTTGTAAAGCATTTCGGATTTACAAATCGTCAGAAATAATATACAGAGTTGCAAAAGAAAGTTTGCTCTTGGTTCCAGGGAAATTCTGTGTTATTTTAGAAGATACTTAATTGTGTACTTGTTATCAAAATTTGCAAAGTTGTTTTGCCTACTCCATGGTTTTCGTTTCATTTTCTTTTCATTAAATTAAAGTTTGGTTATTATAAGAATTTTGTTTTACAAACAACTTATCACATAACGAGAGATTTACAAATTGATCGTGTATTTCTTATATAATGCATAAGACAACATATATAAGGCAAACCATTAAAACGCTCCTGAAAACGATTGTTCCAACTGCTATTTTCGTAAGATTAACAATAATTTCGCGAATACACCATCCGCTTTATGAAAATTTATTTTCATTATTTGTTTTCAGATTATGGATTATGATTCATGCAGACAAATATACAACAATGACAAAGTGTGCCCAACATACACCGACACTTTTAATGGAACGGTTTTAATGGAACACCTATGCTTGTTTATTAACTCATTCGCAAAAACACATCTACAAACTAATTATGCAGAACACATTTAGAAAATTAATAATTTATGCAAAAATTCTGCTGCAAATGAATAAATACATACAAAAAACGTTCGAAAATGAATAAATAGTACAAAAAAACTTTTCGACAATGAATAAACACAAAAATATTGTTAAAAATGAACAAATATTAACAAAAACCTTTCGAAAATAAATTAATACTATAAACTTTTAAAATTGAATTCATGCGCTGAAATCCTACTGAATGTGAATGTGTGCATAAAAATCATGGCGAAAATTAATAATATAACGTAGATTGGAGGGTGCATGATTTATCTAGCATCAAGTGTTACTATAACTGTAACATAACGTAAGTTACGTTATTTGATTGTAAAACAAAAAATATGTAAGATCATTATATACTCATAATTTGCCAAAAGAAACAAAAGGCCATGTATACAGTTTATAATGGCGGGAATATGAACATTTTTTAAATG